GGAGAGGAGAGGAGAGGAGAGGAGAGGGAAGAAGAGGAGGCAGAGGAGAGCAAGGAGGAGCGGAGAGAAGAGAGGAGAGAAAGGAGCCAAGAAGAGAGGAGCGGCGGAGAGGAGCCGAGCGGAGAGGGAGCGGGCGGCCCGGCGAGAGCTCTTTTGCGCCGCTGCGCTTCCCCGGCTGCAATGGTGTATTATTTCAGAGCGCTCCCTCAGCTGAGGGCTCCGCTCCACAACAAGATTTACTTTAAGACACAGCTGAAGGAAACAGGAAGACTGCACGTCACAGTCTGACTGACGTACCCGGCCCCAGCACCCAATCGCGAGGCGCCTTCGGATTCAAGGGGGGATAGCGAGGCAAGAGAACTTGGGAGAAAAAAAAAATATAAAAGGGGTGGGGGTGAGGGGCTGGGAAGAGAGGAGGGGAGAGGGGCCCCGCGCTCCCCCTCCCCCGCCTCCATCCCCGGCCCCCACCCCCGCCCCCGCCCTGCCACCGCTTCGGGGCGACGGGATCGCCGCGCCGGGGCCGGAGCGAGCCATCTGCGGGCACTGTGCAAAGCGGGCGACGGCGCGAGCGGCGCTCGGCTCACACTAGCTCGTCCAGGACGCAGGTCCTTCCCCCCCCCTTCCTTTCCCAGATACAGCTGATCCAGTTCCCCGAGTGGACGAGCGTGGAGCGGACTTGGGTGGAGGAAGGCACGGAAAAGTATACTGGAGAAAAAGTGGGGTTTTAGGGGGTGGGGTGGTATAGGAGGAGGGAGGGGGTAGCTCAAATCGTTCCACCTTTTAAATGATCATAGATAGTATCAAGAATACATGTCACCCTTGCTTCCTTTTAGAGCGGAGGTGGGCAATAAAATACAGGTAGGTTTGGGATTAAAATAATGGGTGCCAGAGGTTTCACTTAGGCTCCGCTGCATCTGGTAGCAGACCAGTATTGGCGGAGTTCCAGTTAATCTTCCGCCAAAATTATTAGGAAGAAGAGTATTTGCCCTTGGTTATTTGGATTGTAGGTAGAGCAGCCTTTTGGGGGGGGGGATGGGGAAATGTTACAAACGTTACCTCGCAATTACCCCTCACTAACTCACCCACCCCAGAATGACCAGAGAGAGGTTTCATATAGGAGTACACAATTTTGACGCCTGGGTAACAAACTTTAAAGTTTATTAGGCAAGAAATTTCAAACGCTTAAATTTCGGGTTTCAACATAAAGCTATAGAAAATTCACTTTGGTTTGCCATTTCTTGGATGAAAAATAACCAGCAAGATTTCTTTAGCTAATGTGGCTCTTAAAGAGCTCCTTGGGGGTTTGCAAGTTACAAATGCTAAAGGGCATTTCTAGCCGCAGCCAGAACGTGTCTTTCACCGGGCACGGTAAACGGCTTTTAATAAAGCAACCGCGTTTATGACCTAAAGATCCTATAAAAGCCAAGACTTACAAGGGCTGCGAGGCAGAAACATTCATACCTAGTCGATTAGACACTCAGTTTTTAGGTAGGATGGGGACAAGTATTTTTGTATGTTCCTTGAATTCAGGCAGATCAAAGGTTGAATGACATTGGTTGGGACAACAGAGTGTTTATGAGGTGTGTTACAAGTACATTGGCCAACAACTACCACCATCTTCTGCAACACACACACACACACACAGACACACACAACATACACCTTTCCCTAGGACATTTACAATTTCAGCCTCAAATTCATCAAACTGTGAAGAAGTCTTTTCTTTGAATAAGAATAGAGATGATAACATCCCCCATGTAGGAAACTTTTGGCACGGGATTCAAACACTGAAAAGAAGAAGAAAAAATCAAGCTGGCCAGGGTGGGTGTCAGGGATAAGAAAAGAGACTTGCTTGAGCATCCCCAGCCTTCATTCCTCCCTTTCCGCTGCCCCCAGACACTCCCTCCACACCGTTACAGAAACCACACAGAGCACACAAACACACCGCTCACACTTCCAATGATAGGCTATTGTATCAAGTGTTATAATCGGGATGTAACAATTTAGGCTGGGAACAGAAATAATCTATCAACATGATCATTAGATGCAGGATGGAATAATGCTTCTATTGGTTGAGTCCTTTCGAGGTAAGCGGGTGTATTGAGCGCGGAAATGTGGGTTCTGTGAATGGATCAAGGCTACTTCCTTTCTTCTTTTCCGTCCTATTATTTTCTTTAAGTATCCCAGTTTGTACATATGTTAGCGCCAGCCCACAAATAAACTGGTGGGAGTAAAGGATATATGCCCTCCACACCTTAAAACCATCTGCTCAGTTTGACATTTAAAAGGAAGGAGGGCAGGGAAGGAGGAGGGCAGAAAGGGGAAGAAAGGGAGCCGAGAGAGAAAAGATTCAGAATCTGGAAGGAAATGGCTTGAACTTTAGCCCACAAGTTATGTCAATTGCACCTAGCGCTCGGATGCACGTTTTGCACACTACGCCCGGGAACTGGCCGCAGGAAAAGTTCCCTGCGAACCCCAGTAAGCCCTCTGTCACTCCCGGGGGAAGGCAGGCCTGAATGGAAGTCGGGGTAACCCGCTTGGCGGACAAGGAAGCTCCCCCAACCCCCAGCCAACGCAGCGGAGGCTCGCGGCTCGCCACGCTCTGCCGCGGCAGTTCGCAGCCCGCATTAGGGCGCAAGAGCGGCTGGTTGAAATAGGAGCGCGCGCGACGCTGGGCAAGCGAGCTCGGTCCGTAGCCCAGCTCCGTGAGCTACGTACGCGGAGCCCTGTCCTGTCCCTTACTGTCGGGGCGACGTAGAGGCCGGGCTCCTGGCAACCTCTCTTGCCCAAGCTGCGGCGCTCTCCCAGGTCTTGGGCCGTCCTAGAGCAAGGCGTGAGGCCCGAGCCCCCTATCTCCGGCGACTCCCGGTTTGTTTTCTGATAGGGGAGAAGCGATCAGTCAGGTCGGAGCCGAGAAGTCGCCTAGATACTGGTTCCATCTCTGAAACCAGCGGCCAAGCCTAGGGTCAACCCCTTCCTCCGCCCATTGGCAACACAACCCCAATAACTTAAAAGTTAACACAAGTTCTGACCGGTTTTCCAACAAACCTCATCCATGCAGACTGCATTTACTTATTTATGGGAAGGGGGATCTGCTGTGACTTCTTAGTCAAACTCTTGCAGTTATCACTTAATGCATCTGGTTCTGGGTTAAACACACTTTGCCTTGACATTTCCTCGGTGTATTTCGGCCCTCCTCCACCGTTCTTTCTTAAAGCCCTTAGATGAAGGTAGGAGGGAAGATTACATATAAGAAATTTAAAACCTTACAAAGAACCATCGTCAGATCCTAAACAAACCGATTCTGGGAATTTTAACCAGATCCAGCAGAGAGGCCAACGTGGGCGTGGATTTCGGGAGAAAGATACTGAAGATCCCTGCCTGGACACACAAACACTCACAAAACCATCCACTCTCCACCACCACCTCTACCCTGAAGAGAGGAAGAGAAAGAGAGAAAAACCAACTCCAGGGTGCAGGCCGGCCTGCTTCCGGCTGTCTAGAGGCAGACTGACCGCCATTCTCTCTCATCCCCCACCCCCTTACCCCCTGTGCCCAGTGTGACGCCAGGCCCAACCTGGGTCTGTTCTGAATGGGGGGAAAAGTGAAATGCCACAAGATCAGTAGCAAGGAGCAGCTGCGGCGTTTCTCTCCTGGGAACGCCACTGCTTCGAAGCCTCCCGAGTGATGTTTGTTTAACCAACAGCTTTCAAAGTAAACAGAGGCCAAGCGCTCCAAAGAAGTTGAAATATAACCCTTACAAGAATTTGGGCCCCGAGTGCCGGCGGAAAAAGTATTTTTTTTTTTTTTAAGTAATAAAGCTTCCATCCCAAATAAGGGTCCACCGCAATGCCTAAAGGAAACTAGAACTGTCATAAAAATACAAATTCATCGAAAGGATTCATTACAATAAAGTGACCTCCAAGAAAATCACCCTTCGTCCACAAAAACACACCTGTGGGGTTGGTTGTCAGCGAGGGAAGGGGCACACTACTAACTTGATTTTAGGGAAGTGGGCGAAAACAATCGAAGGGAGGTACATTCCCTGCCCCGAGTAGAAAAGAGTAGGCTGGGAGCTCTGCGCAGCCAACCCTGGCTTTGCCTCAGGCACCGAACTTTCCAATATCAAGATATTAACAGATGGTGGTGAGCACATGGAGGGCTGTTACTTACATAATCCAGCCACTCCGCCCGGCCGCGCTGAGCCCGGCAAGGCGTCCGCCAGGCCGCGCGCGCGCCTCCCGAGGGGTGCTGTTGCCTTCCCCCCCCCCCCGAAATAACGTGCCTTTCTCCAACCCCGCCCGGCTCTTCGGGGGCTAGGATTTGGAGAGGTCGTGCTTTCAGAAAAATCTTCGCATCGATCGGATTGTGCTTTACCTTCTTCAGTCCACAGCAGTAAAGAAGCTGGAGACCCATGGGCAGAGGGAAGCGGAGGGAACGCTTTCGGGGAGAACCCGACGCTCTCCCTCGGGATCTGGGGGGGGGTACCAGGGAGTGGAATGTTCGCAATTTACATCCCTCCTTCTTTGGCTCAGATTAGCAGGTCTTTCCCAGTTCCTGAAATACAAAGGCAGGCTCGGGGCCGCAGCAGAGGGGGAGCGGGGTGGGGTGAGGGTGTGAGTGCGAGGGGACGCCTCTGCACGCGGGGGCGCAGTGGGCAAAGTTACGCAAAGCCTCGGGGCACCGTTACACTCCCGAGCTTCTGCAGGGTTTCAAGCACTGCTTCTCGCACGCGGGGAGTCCCTTTAGGCTGGGCGGCCGCCTGCTGCCTTCGCGGCCCCAGCCACCTCCCCCGCGGCCCGGTCCCTCCCGGTGTGCCTTGTGTACCTCCGCCCGCGTGTCGGGGGACGCGTGTGTTTGCCGAGCCTCTCCCTGAGGGCGACTCCGGCCGCCGAAACCCGTGAGGAATACGCCTGCGTGGGTTGCAAAAGTTTCGGGTTGGGAGGGAAGGCTGGGAGTCGCCTCTCCTAGCACCCGGCAGGAGCGGGGCTGCCTGGCCGGCGGCTTCCTCCCGGTCTCCTCCTCCCTCCCGGCCCTTCCTTTCTCGCCGCAGCCCCGCGATAGGTGTCGCGGCCTCTCGGCCCGGAGACCGCGAGCGCGAGATGCTGCGGCGGGGTCCGGCGC